TTACAGGTGTGAACCACTGCACCTGGCCCATCTTTTTCTTTTTGGTCCTTTTTCTTTTTTAAATATGATTTATATTTAGCAATCATAATAGGAAATAAAGAGAATTATAGCATAGTAAAAACACAAGAATCGTAGGTATCATGTTAAAAATTAAGTAAAAGAGCCTCTGGTTAGATGAAAAGGCAAATTTGCAAGATACATATTTTGGGTAGCTGAGGATAAAAATGCAAAGAAGGACTTGGAAAGTATAGCTGCCTGATGTATCAGTTCTTCTTTCAGAGTGGGCTCAGCATGTTTGTAGAAGGGATAGGCACAGATGACCTCCACTCTGATTGCCTGCTCATTAGTGCTAAGTAGTAGCTGTGTGGGAAAAAGAGAAGGAAAAGGAAGGAACGAACATGAAAGATGGAAACAAGTAAGGAAAGAAATAGGGAGATTCCGATGATAATAAGCACATCAAGCATTGTGACAGCATTAATGAAAACATGAGGAATCTTTTTCCACTTCCTCTGGAAGTTTGGTCACAGTGTTTTGTAAGTCAGGTAACCTGGAAAATTAGGTTAAAGCCCATTTACCGAAATTGATGAATTCTTTGCATTCTCCCTTTTTTTTTAAATAACAAAGTCTGTAGATCTTTAAAAATTAATAGGAACAAAGTGACTGTGTTTCCTGTGACATTTGAGAAGCAGTGTTTCAATTTACTTCTCCCTGGAGAGATTCTATAGCTTTACTAAAAGACAACTAGCTTAAATATGAATAATAGTAAGTAGACTTCCCAGACAGTCAGAGTCTATTTTAAATGTAGAATATTTTCTAGTTGGTAAATATCTCATTTTTTAAAAGACATTAAAAGTGTTGTTAGTTTTTCCATAAATAGAAATGAAAAGTCCACTTTTAAAAGACCAGAACCCCCCATGATTTACATACCTATAAATGTTTTTCCCTCAGCATATTATTATAGATCAATTTTTACTGCTTACATTTAAAATATCAGTTGCGTTGGAATGTCTATTTATTTAGTTGTGTTCTATACAAGATTCAGGTTAAAAAAAAACGAAAGCTAACGTCTTATTCACGGAACAGTTTTTAATTTTAGTTTTATTTTTTTAGACAGAGTCTCACTTGTCATCCCCAGTAGAGAGCTGTGGCATCACAGCTCACAGCAAGCTCAAACTCTTGGGCTTAAGTGATTATTTTGTTACATCTTGATGACCAAATGAACATCCCAGACAGCCAATTCCATCTTCTGTTCTATACCGCTGGTCTCCACCAGTGGCTGACAGTCTTGTTTTCACGGACCACACCCATGGAGGTGATCCATTAGTGCTTAAAACCTCAGGATGCATGCAGCTTCTCCCACTGGGTTCAGGAAAGGCTTCCTTGCCATTTCCCAGGCTGAGAGTTAGAGAGGTGCTGTTTACCAGGTCACTGCCCCAGCACTGCCGTGCTCCACAGTTGCCACAGACTTCAGCTGCAGCTCTCGAGTAGTCACACCTTTCACTCCGTTCTCATGTTTGTAAAAAAAGGACAATATAAATATCCTGTTCCCCAGCACTTCAGAAAACATATTTTCCCCATAATTCTGTTTTTGCTTTTCTTTTATTCAAGACCCTGAAATATTTGTAGTTACAACACTTTGTATAAGACACTGCAAGAAAGTAAATTTAAAAACCATCATCTTCCTCTGCACATGTATTGCACAGTCACTGTGACTGGCTCAAAGTGAAGAAAACTTAAAATTGTCTGACTTTTGTCTTAAAAATTTCTCTGGCTTGATTGAAGAAGGCCAAGTTGTAGAGAAAAACAATGGCAGAAGCTCAGGCTAAGGAAAGCAACTTGACTGTGTTTGTCTAACTAGAATTACTAGCTCACAATTTATGTTCTTCTTAATTCCATGTATAGAAATCAGGAAAAAGGGCTTGATTCAGTTGTATGTTGAAAAGGAGATACAGCTTCATAGAAAGTTGAGGATTTATTTAGGTTCAACTTTCAGGCTGATGTTTGTTGTCCTCTTCATGTTTAAAATGACAGAAGCCTTTAAGGTGTTTCAGACCCCTGCATATGTATCAGCGTGTTTTTCTTCAGCATTTACTAAGTCTTCTGAGTTCTGAAGCTCAAGTTCACCTTGCATAGCTAACCTTTTCCACCTGTCTTTGTTCTGTTGAACGATGTCCACTGGGTTGTGTTTAGGCTGTCCAGGCCTGCAGCTGTGAGGGAGGAGCACAGGGAGTGGGGCCCCTCACGGGGCAGCCGTTTGTGTTTGGTCATCTCAGCTAATCAGCAACATGTTTCCCCACAATGGTGGGTGAGCTAACAATGACAACGAAAGAAAGCCAAAAATACCAGTGTCAGGACCTGAGACGAGGACGGGAAGCGGAGCAACAGTACAAAATGACGGAAGAAGCAGGACAGCGGACGCTCAGGCCCTGTTGGAGCATGGCCTCGCCTCTGGTCTCTCCTTCCCCGTGGGGAGAGAGGGTCAGGCACTCCTCGGAGACTTCTTACTCTCTTAGCATCCTTTTTAACTTGTACAACTGGAATTATGCTACCTTTTTTACTTAAGTATTTTTTCATATTATTACAGAATCTTTGAAAATGTTTTTAGTGCCTTTGTGGACTTAGACTACATAATTTATTCCACTATTTTTTATTGGACATTGTTATACTTTTGGTATTTTAAGAGCTTTTGTAATCTGAGATGAACAACATTGTGCTAAAACTTTATACATAGGTTTGATTTTATACTTTAACAACAATTTCTAGAAATAGATTACCAATCAAAGGGCAAGAATGCTTTTTCAAAGCTTTTGGCTTTATTACCACACTGCTTTGCAGAAGGTTACACCAGTCTGCACCACCATGAGTATGTAGTAGTATATTCTTATCCTAACTGTTAATAACAGCCATTGAAAAGAAGTTTAATTAGAAAAAAATACTAACAATATCTCTCTAGGTTGATTTGAGCCTCTTTGATGTAGTCTTTGCATGAGAAGAAAGAAAATATTTCTAAGAGATGCTAGTAAAAATATAAGTACTAGTAAGAAAATCTTTCTAAGAAAGTATATTTACTTGAAAATTTCCTAAAATCACCTAAAATTTTTTTTGACAAAATTAAACTTTATGGTATATTTCTTTAGTACCATTGAAAAAAGTACATGTTTTAAAGTAAGTTTGGCTATCCTTTTAAAAATTAAAAACTTAAATTTCTGTTTTATTAATGTCTTGGAAGGGAGTGATTGTGATCATTGGCATTTTTAAAATGTCCTTTCTTATATTTAGTAATTTTCAACTCCTTGTTTAGAGTCGATAAGTTTTTATGATAGAAAATTCATATCCTTGAAATATGACTATCACACTATTCCAAGATTGTTTATGAGAGATATATATTGAGACCTTATAAAAAAAATTATAATTTAATGCTACAAAACAGTAAAGCAATGCTAATTTGAACATTTTGGTATTTCAAGGATGTAAGAACACAAATACAGTGTCAGCTGTGGGTTTTACTTATCTTAAAAACTTTCAAAGTGTAAGATAAAGCTTAATAGGTCATTTATAAATCATAATTTATATGGTATGATGTAGAGACTATCTCTGAGGTTTTAATTAGGTATAATCTAAGCTTAGATTTTTTAAAGTATATAAACATTTCTAGTAACTCATTCTCATTTAATCTTGGGAAATGTCTGCTTTTATCAATCAAGAGTTTACTGGGAAGAGTCCAGCTTATTATAGAGATCTATTGTACTTTGTACAGCTAAGACAATGATTTTTCCTTTTATTTAACTAATAGCAAGTTCAGCTACCCTTGTCTGTCATACTGTATATAAAAAAATCAGCTATTATAGTTTGGTTGTCAAGCTGTAGTCCAAGATAAATTGCAATATAGTTGGGTAGGTAGATTTATATCTATATCTGTATTTATATACACAGTATATGTGATATCTCAAGTTACTAGTCACTGCCCTGAATAAAGAATTAAAGGACTAGTCTTACAGATAGAGGAAATATTTTATAATTGTTTAATGAATAATGAAAAGGAAAAAATACAGTATTTTATAATTTTTTAAATATTTTATCATTTTTATTGTTTTTAACTATTAAGAATAGAAAGATGCCTTATATCATTATATCATTTCTTGTTTGGGCATTAGTCAGCCTTTTTTTTTTTTTTTTTTTTTTTAAGAGACAGAGTCTTACTTTGTTGCCCTTGGTAGAGTGCTGTGGCATCACAGCTCACAGCAATCTTCAACTCCTGGGCCTAGGCGATTCTTTTTCCTTAGCCTCCCGAGTAGCTGGGACTACAGGTGCCTACCACAGTGCCCAGCTATTTTTTGTTGCAGTTTGGCCGGGGCTGGGTTTGAACCCGCCACCCTTGGTATATGGGGCCAGCACCCTACTCACTGAGCTACAGGCTCCACCCGTCAGCCTTTTTATTTATTTATTTTTCTGGTTCTCATTACTCTAGGTTGTTGTTGATTTGTAAAATAATCATATTAGTGTTTGGAAAGGATTTTAGTATTGTGTTAGTGAGTTGAAATAATGACAGCGGCCGAGAACTGTGACAGCATTGTGCCGAGCAGTCTCTGTTAGTCGCTTGGTTATTCCTTCTCTATGACTCAGGGAGGTGGCCACATTTTATAATTGAGGAAACAGAGGCTCACAGGGTAGGTTAGAAACAGGCTGCATAGAAATTGAGATCCATTTTCAACATACTCCTTTGTTGTCTCTCTTTATAATGTTGGTAGTTTACAGACTTCTGAGGCCAGCTGAGAAACTCAAAGATTTGGAAGTTCAGTTCATTCCATCAGTAGAATGCTTTCTTTGTGCAGCTGTAAAATAGAAACCAGCTCTCTGGAATGACTGGCTAACTCTTAGTAAGCTGCTTGAGAAATTGTTTATACTTGATTTACTGTATGCAGTGAATTCTTTCCATTGTAAACAGTAGAAAAACAGATCAGACATTTGTGTTAACATTTCCAAATATGTGTTTGAAACAGATTTGGCAACTGATCGGAAGCTCTTTCGTCTGGTCTCCAATGACTCCTTCATCTCCATTCAGCCTTCCTTATCCTCTTGTGGACAGGACTTACCAAGGGACTTCAGTGACAAAGCAAGCCTGCCCAGTCATAGCCAGCACCACCACGTTGATCAGTCTCTGTCCAGTGCCTGTGACACAGAAGTCGCTTCTCTTGTACCTTTACACTCACACTCGTATAGGAAAGATCATCGGCCACGAGGTGTACCACGGACTTCTAGCTCTGCTGTGGCTTTTCCTGATACTTCACTGAATGACTTCCCTCTTTATCAGCAAAGACGTGGGTTAGATCCAGTTAGTGAGTTAGAATCTTCTAAACCTCATTCTGGATCCAAAGAATCCTTGGTGGAAAATTCTTGTTTATCTGGGGAATTTCAGCTTGCTGGTGACTTGAGAAAGAGTAATTCTCAGCCACCCACAAAAAGCGGGAAGAACAAACCTTTGAAGGCAGACAAAAGCGTGGACAGCTTGAGGAGCCTGAGTACGCGGAGTAGTGGGTCCACAGAGAGCTACTGCAGTGGGACGGACCGGGACACCAACAGCACTGTCAGCAGCTACAAAAGTGAGCAGACCAGCTCAACTCACATCGAGAGCATCTTGTCAGAGCATGAGGAGTCTCCTAAAGCAGGAACGAAAAGTGGCAGGAGAAAAGAGTGCTGTGTTGACGCAGAAGACCAGAGTAGTTGTGGCAGTGACAAAAGGACTAGCAGTGAAAAGACTGCTGTGGAAGTGAGTGTGAACAGTGGGGCTCCCGAGGCCAGGGACGCCAACTCCCCCGAAGAGACGCAGAGCCAGAGAAGGCTCAGCACCTCTGCCTCGGAAGAAGCCAATAAAAATCCCCATGCAAACGAGTTCACTGCCCAGGGGGACAGGCCACTTGCAAACACAGTGGAAAACAAAGAGGAGCAGAGTGATAAGTCGGTAGTTTCGGTGGATTCAAAAGTGTGTAAAGATGTTGGCGGAAAGCAAAAGGAAGGAGACGTTCGCCCTAAATCCTCCAGTGTGATCCACCGGACGGCCTCTGCCCACAAACCGGGCAGGAGACGGACAGGGAAGAAGCGGGCCAGCAGCTTTGATGCAAGTCGGCACAGGGACTATGTTTCCTTTCGAGGTGTTTCTGGCACCAAACCACATAGTGCTATCTTTTGTCACGACGAGGACTCCAGCGATCACAGTGACCTGAGTAGAGCGTCCAGTGTTCAGTCTGCTCACCAGTTCAGCAGTGACAGCTCTTCCAGCACCACTTCTCATTCCTGTCAGTCTCCTGAGGGCAGGTACAGCGCGCTCAAGACCAAACACTCTCATAAGGAAAGGGGAACAGACTCCGAACACTCACACAAAGCTCATTTGGGTCCTGAAGCAACTGGCAAAAAGCGGGCAACACGGCGGACTTCCAGCACAAATAGTGCCAAGACTCGTGCCCGGGTGTTGAGCTTGGACAGTGGCACAGTAGCGTGTTTGAATGATTCAAATAGGCTAATGGCACCTGAAAGTACAAAACCCTTAACCACTTCCAAATCAGATCTCGAGGCCAAAGAGGGAGAGGTGCTAGACGAGCTGTCTTTGTTGGGACGGGCTTCCCAGTTAGAGACGGTCACTCGATCTAGGAATAGCTTGCCAAGCCAGGGTGCATTTCCTGAAGGGGAAGAGCAAGATGCAGTCAGTGGAGGTAAGTGAACTGCAAGGAGAGATTTCCTCAAGTGTCACAGCAATTTTCGATACTATTTATTAGAGTAGTATTTGTTAAAATGCTACGGCCCTCTGTTAATATTCTCTCCTCTAGTGTGTTATTAAAATAAGCATTCTTCAGTGGAGAAGAAGGTGGTTATCTTAGAAAAGGTTTTTATTTTTTTTTTTCAGTTGTAATATTTGAATTAAATCAACTTGGTCTTGATGGCATCCACTTTTCTAAGCCACATAAGTTAATGTGGCCTGTAATGTTTTGCCAGGAATATCAAAATCAACCTCCTTACTTTGTATAACAATCGAATAACAAAATATATAATTGATTAGGGCCCCAGCCATTTTTAGTCATCTCCTATACAGTGTGTGCCATGGAACTTTCCAAATTAGGTCACTCAAGCTGTCATCTAAAATTTTTTTCCAGATATTACTTTAACTCTGATTATGTACTTTGAAAATTGTGGTCTTTTTTTGCCTGTTACTTTATCTTCATTTCTTGCTTATTCAAGTTTCAGGCATTAAGAATTTTTTTTTTCTGGAATTTCACACTTTTCTTAAAATTTACTAAATTGAGGTTTGTAGTTTGTATTGGTGTTTTTTATCTGTTCATCAATGTGTGGTGCCCCCTCTGGTAACAGTGCTGGTGTTTGAGTTAAAGTAATAGCTTATTTATTTTAGGTTTATGGGGAATTGTGCGAAATTGGATAGGTGATTTTATTGGTGTGTGTTGGCCTCTTTGTTTATTTCAGAGTTGTTTCTTACTATTTTCTTCTGCCTAAAATAGTTTGGTTCTGGTTTTTACAGACTCTGCTTCTTGAATAAAATGGAAGAATGAAGCCTGCTTTTCAAAGCTTTCCTCCCCTTCCCTTCATGTATGCTTTTTATATCTTTAGTTTTGAAGTTTATATTCTGTTTGGCATAGTAATGTTCAGTATTTACCAAAAGTTAAGTTGGATTTTCTTTTCTTTTCTTTTTTTTTTTCTCAATCCCCAGAACATTCTGGTTTGGGGAGTTTCTGTTTGTGCAAACATTCTAATCTGAAACATATGAGTGCTTTTTCCCTCAAAGAATTTTAATTCATCCAGGGTATTTTAAAAGTCCACATTGTGGTAAACATTCTTTCTCTCTCTTTTTTTTTCCATTTGTTTGTTTTTGGTAAAGTTTCTAACACTTTCTAATGGGAATATAAAAAATGATCTAGGGAAAAAAGTAACCTATCACACCTAATTATTGAGAACTAATTGTGTCTGAAGGTGGCTGTAATCACTGGGTGATAGTGCAGTGATGAAATTCCGAGTCTTTCACCTGGATATCATTCTGTTTTTATAAAAAATCAGAAATGCTTTTAGTGATTTCTCAAACAAATTATGTCAGATATGTTCACGATGTGCAAGAAACTATTGGGTTTTAAAATATAGTTCAATTTCCCAAGTTGTCAAAATAGATTTTAAGAGTGAACATGCTATGATAGAAAATTATTGCTGTTCTAAATATTGTTGAAATGTGAATACTGAAAAAATATGTACAGGAGCTGTAGTAAATCCTGATGTCTTCGTATTTACTAATAAGATGTCACTTTCTTTTCACAGGGAATGTAGGCTATTTTTTAGGGATAATTATATCCAAGGTGTTATTTGCTGTTCTTTGACTAACACAAGCCTTCATTTTCCTAGGCTTCAGATTTTCTTTTGTTTATATTCTTTTTTATAACCTCATTAAGTGTTACAGGAAAGAAGTAACGAACTAAAAATTTCCATTTCCTTTGGCCGTAGAAATGTAATAGTCTTGTGGGCTGTTGAAAAACACTTTTTTTGTCTAAGGAATGCATTGCAGGGGCTATTTGAATTTGGAATAAAAATAAGAAAAAACTCACCACTTACATATGTGGGATTTATATTTGGTTGGATTTTATTACATCTAAAATAGGGGCTTTTCGGAGGGGGGATTTATGTGGGCTTTTTGCTTTGGTTCTCATTTTTAAACCTTAAAGAGAATCTCAAATACCCGTTAAGGATATTTGTTGATATCATCTTTGCTTGTTATCGTCCTGTCTGACGATTTAGGAGAAATGTTTTTGGGCTATGAATTCTTCCTTACATAATACTGAAATGCGTCAAGAAAACATACTACTGCTTGACCATTCAGATGCCCATACATAAACCGTAAATGGATTTTATCCTAATGAATTCAAAGGTGTTGATGAGTTCTCCAGTGATTTCTGTTATGTTTTTACACTGAGTGTTGTTGGGAATGTGGAGGGATGGAAGTTAGGAAATGTACTTGAAAGTACTAAAATAAAATAGCGGCCAATCTAGTTTAGTGACACGCAGTTCTGTACCTTCGTTAGATGAGCTCCACTGCAGTGGGGACTCGAGGAAAACTGCTTCCCTTCTTTAAGACTCAGCTTCCTTATCTTAAAAGGACATGACAGTAGTGTCTATCTCAGAGCGCTGTTGTGAGGATTAAAGGAGTTAATACACAGAAAGTACTTACAGCGGTGCCTGGCACGTAAGAAATACTTCATGGTGCTGCTGTTACTCTTAGCAAGCAGCCCAGTTTGTTGTCCTGTGCAAATGTGTCCTTGTTTGACTACTAATTCGATGGTATAAAATTCAAGTAGAAGAAAATGGATAAACACACAAACAAATTAGAGATAGTCTGTGTCATTGTGAAACAAATTGAAGTTTAAAAAAGCCTAAATAAAAATAACAACAGAATAATAATAATACCAACAGAAAAACATTTTTTATTAACATCTAATGTAGTAACGTGGATCCTAAACTTATTTTGTCAGTAATGTGTCATGTAACTTTTGATATTGAGTCACATAGCAGATGATTGTTTTCATAGCGCCTCACACCGTTAATCAAGCACTTCAGTAAAATTGGCTTTCACCGATAATGTTCAGTGATTACTTAGATAGGAAAGATGTCTTAAGTTCAAACTGAGGCATTTTCTATTGACCTCTTGTTTTGTACCTAATAGTTTTATAGTTACAAGGTGTATTTTTAACAATTTGCAGCTAATAATTAAGAATGAAAAAGTACACACAAGTTATATATGATTGGAAGATGTCCTGTGTTTTCTAAGTCCTTTTCTTGTTGGCCACTTATGCTTATTTCTCACGTGGTTCAATACCATTATTATGGCATATTTTCCATACCAGTTTATCAAAATACAAAGAGTAGCCAGAGTGGAGAGATTTCTGTTTACTTATTATTCTTTGTACTTTTTTCTGAATTTCTTAATCTTTATTTCTCTGAGAAAATTATTTTAAATACTCAGGTCATTATTCTGTGAGCATGAGATGGGATACTATTATAATAAATATTATTTGGAACAAAAGATAATCTTTTAGTCAGATCTTTTCAATAAACAATTAAGATTTTTTTTTCTTTTTTTTTTTTGAAACAGAGTCTCACTTTGTTGCCCTTGGTAGAGTGCCGAGGCATCACAGCTCACAGCAACCTCCAGCTTTTGGGCTAAGGCGATTCTCTTGCCTCAGCCTCCCGAGTAGCTAGGACTACAGGTGCCTGCCACAACGCCCAGCAATTTTTTTATTGTAGTTTGGCCGAGGCTGGGTTTGAACTCACCACCCTTGTTATATGGGGCTGGAGCCCTACTCACTGAGCCATAGGCACAGTCCAACAATTAAGATGTTTTTTGTACTATACATACAAATAGAAAAGTCTGCTGTTATATACCCAAATATCCTTGAACATTAGAAAGCAAAGATAAAGACCAGTGAACTGACAAGAAAATGTGAATTCACGTATTTGTATTTTATTATGTAGAATGACTTCAAAATCTACTGAGCTTAATTTTCTGATTATCCAGTCTACATGGGAAGTTAGAAATAGCAAATTAGTAGAAGGATGGGTACTTGGAGAGGCTAAAGTAATAATAGTAGGAGAAATCCTCAGCTAACACTAAAGGAAGAGCTTTAGTAACTATATAAACCAAAGCAAAGAAACATAACAGTATAAAGTTATTAAATTCACCTTTTAATAGTGTTCAAGGGCATCACAGTATCATAATTTACTGCTCTGTTATACCTGTAATAATCATATATGTAGCTGACCCTGATTTGTTGAAAGATTATGTTTTGGCTGTGCTGTGAAGAAAGCTTGGACATACTCAACTGCATAGAAGAATGCTTGTTAGATACAGTAAAATAGACTTGGAAAAATTATCTTGCCTTACAGTAACATCAAGAAAACAAAGTAGAAAAGAGGTCTTTTATTGGTGATGCATATTTGCTGTTTATAGAATCATATAGAGTATATTTATGTTATTACATATAGCATTTCAAAAGCAGCCTGTGTCTGATTTTGTCAGGTGGGAACAAATATTTTAGTATTTTTCTTTCTAACAGCTGCGAACTTCTGGCTAAGGAATCAGATGTTTATATTTTAATACTACTTGATTGAATATTCTGGCAAACCATTAAATCTGTGCCTGAATTTCCTCAGTTATAAAACAAGAATAAAAACTGTCCAGGCATGTCTTGCAGTTAACAGTCAGACTCTGATGAACTTGGACGTGTGAAAATGCTTTATAAATGGTAGATTCACTATGTAAACTAAGGCACTGATCCCTTTTTAATCATCTGTGGGGATGTTTCCTTTTTCTAATATGTCTCTTCAAACATATATATTTTTCACAAATGATTTCTTATTAGATAAATCTCCTGAAAATATATGCAAAATTGTATCTGAATGCAGTTTTCTAGGAGAGTGTTCACAGAAAGATTAAAGAAGATCAGAAACCACCTGTGAAAGTAAATAATCCTTAGAGTATATCTTTTAGGAACTGTTTTGTGTGAAATGTGACTCCAGGATATAATTTAATTTTTAAAAAGCATCTTGTATTTATTTGGCTACAGGGTTTGTGGATATGTAATTTCTCTTTAACTCAAAACACACTAATAATTTTGTTGTTGTTTGTCCTTATTTATTGGCTTTCTTGTCAAAAAGCAGAGTAAACCTTTAAAATGTTTTCACGAATGGAAATTATTTTAATTCAGACTTGGTGCTTAGAATTTGTGCAGTAGGTTCTCATTGTTCTTTATCCTCTGAGAAAATAACCCAAGCATTTGTCTTTTCATTAGAATAAAGTCTTTGCCTATTAATGTTAGTGTCATTCTTGGCACACACGAAAACTAAGGAAGGGAAAAGCTGTTTAGATAAAGTCAGTTTCATGCCTAGATTAAAATTTTTTTCAGAATTTATTTTTTTGTAAAACTATTGGAATGTT